TCTGTGCTGCAGGAGAAGGTCAGGAGAAACTCTCCTGTCAATTTCCCTTATACTTCTTGTCTGGAGTAGAGTAAAAAAATCAACTGGAGAGTGATTTGCGGTCGATTTGGCAGGTCTTATTAAATGGTCTTCACTGATAAATCAGTTGCCAATGGATCAATCTCAGTGTTGATCTCCGAGGCAGTGTAGATGTAGTCTTAGAACAGTGGTCACCAACCAGTAGATCAGGATCTACTGGTAGATCTTGGAGCCTCTGACAGGTGATCCTGACAGGTTTGGCCAGGAGGCTATCTAGGGCCAGCACTTCAGCTGCCTCTCCCTGCACTGCTGCGTAGCTCCTGCTCTGTTCTTGGAGCTGTCCTCTCAGTAGCCTCCTGCTAGCTTGGCAGTGGAGGGAGAGGAAGGTGCTGATGTCAGGGTACCCCTCCCCACTATGTATCTCATCTCCACAGAGCAGAGAGGGGACACAATAGGGCTTGGGATGGAGGGAGTTTGCTGGCTGCTTTTTGGAGTGATGCAGGGCCAGGGCAGGGGTGAGCCTACCTTAGCCCCACTGCACCACCACCTAGGAGCCATCTGAGGTCAGCAGGGCCCAGCCAGAGCCCACATCCTGAAACCCTACCCTAGTCATGAACCCCCTCCAGCACCTCAAGCCCCTGCCCTAGCTCTGAGCACTCCTACATCCCAACACCTTCCCAAAGCCTGCACCTAGAATACCCTCCAAAACCCCAACTGCCTGCCCCAAGCTCAGCTCAGAGCGCCTCTCACACTCCAGATCCTTTAATCCAAGACCAGAGTCTGCACCCCAACCCACAGCTCCAGCCTGGTGAAAATGGGGGAGGGAGGGAGGATGGAGTAAGCAGGAGTGGGGCCTCAGAGAAGGGGCACACTGGAGGTGGGGCAAGGGTATTTGGGTGTGAGGTAGATCTTTGATTGCACTTAAATTCAAAAAGTGATCTCATGCTTAAAAAGGTTGGAGACCACTGTCTTAGAATGTCACCTTCTCCCCATACTAGATGGAGGTCTATGGCTTTTGTCTGATAATTAGGGAATGGCTTCTATAGGATGAGATTTGGTGGACCCAGGACCCAACTTTCTGCTGGTTGTACCACAGCTGGGACAATAGGTTTTTATCACTCTCTCTATTTAGTGCCTGAGAAACGTGATTTGTTTTGGAAGGTGCTAGTAATTAGGGGTATGTCTACACTACCCTCCTAGTTCGAACTAGGAGGGTAGTGTAGACATACCCTCAGTGCTTCTATAGGATGAGATTTGGTGGACCCAGGACCCAACTTTCTGCTGGTTGTACCACAGCTGGGACAATAGGTTTTTATCACTCTCTCTATTTAGTGCCTGAGAAACGTGATTTGTTTTGGAAGGTGCTAGTAATTAGGGGTATGTCTACACTACCCTCCTAGTTCGAACTAGGAGGGTAGTGTAGACATACCCTCAGTGCAAATGAAGCCCGGGATTTGAATTTCCCGGGCTTCATTTGCATAAGCGGGGAG